CATGATAGGAATTTTCCTTAGCATCCACATGCAAGGCTCCATGTGTATGTGCAAAGTTTAGTCTCAACTTTTCCATTGGCATCTCAAAATAAATTTTTAAAAACATTCTACCATGCCGTCAAATCCACTCTATCGTAAGATTTGATGCATGGGAGAAGATGTTGACAATGGTGAGCTTGATAAGGGAGAGATCACAAAAATTGGGGTACAAACTAGCCTAGCTTGAGCTTGATAAGGGAGAGATCCCAAAAATTGGGGTACAAATGAGCAAAACTTGAGCTAGTCTAACAAGTATTGAGGTTGGCTTGCTAAGAAAATGAAATAATGCTTTTATTTGTATTTAGCTCATTTACCTATTAAAGCTAAACATAAATTATTGTGAACATAAAACTTTCTTGAAAGCCTTATATAAATTAGGGAATATGAATGTATCACACATTTATGTATTTATTTATAAATATAGGAACATGAACATGCGTGTTCACAATCTCTATATTTATGCAGATATACAAATATAAACTCATACAATAATACATAAACTCACACATACATACACATGCACATGCACATATGCACACGCACATGCACATATGCACACATACGCATATATATAAATATTATCAAGCTACAATCGAGTCAACCACAATCAAACTAAATCATGTTTGTATTTAAATCATTAAATAAATGATCTTATTAAAAAAATTGAATTCAAGCTAATAATTCAGTTGAGCATGAACAATAAGCATTTTCTAGATATTAATGATATCGGTCAAATACTGATGCAGTGGATCTACAGGGAAACGGACACAGCTTGAGTGTTTTCCCAATCCAGGGAATAAACACACAAATACACAAAGCTTAAGCTTCAAAATGAGAGATAATATTCATTGATGTTGTTTCCTACTACAACCTTCTATATATAAGCCAATAAGAGAATCATCTAGAAACAAGTATAAAACTAAATATACTAATCCTAAGGAAGACTATAGCTAAAATGCTCCGCATCATTCTCCCCTTGCGTCAAAAGAGCTCGACTCCGTCGAGGCTCGTCATCGGGAGAAAGATTATGATCAATCCTCCTGGGTCGAAAACTTGGCGTCTTTGATGCATTAGTATAAACTTATTCATTACCGGCATGAGTACCTTTGACCTGGGAATAATAATTTTGGTTTCATTGCCGCCATCTCCATTTAGAAGGCTTATATCAGAACCATAGGCAGCTACTTTATCATTATTGCCCAAGCAAACAATCATAGATGAATAAGCATAAGCAATTAATTTGCTCTCTCCATTCTCCTCTGCCACATTCAAGATAAATTCAATATTCCTTATGGGCACCACTGAAGTCCATAGGCTTTGGGACTCACCTATCCTCTCAGCTTTACATAATATAAGGGCGTTGAAGTTGCTGAATTGACCGGTGCCTGGGGCGAGGCCAGAGAGATCATTGTAAGGAAAATCCACGGTCGTTAGACTCTGCATCCAAGATATAGATTGCGGAATGCTTTTGTCGATTTGGTTCCTGGAGAGGTTGAGATAGTTCAAGATCTGCATTCCAGTGATCTCCTCAGGGATCTCATTTGACAGATTGTTTCTGCTGAGGTCTATGAAGGTAAGGAAACTACACTTGTTGATCTCCCGAGTAATATGAACGGAAAAGATGTTACCGCTAGAAAGTTGTTGTAGCCGGTCGATCTCTGGCGGCATGTTGCCGGAGAAGAGGTGTTGGTCTTTTAAAAACATCTGGACAACAAAGAAATTACCGATAGAAGAAGGAAGAGGACCAGAGAGGCGATTGTTCGAGAGGATGCTCTGGCCAAGATTAGACGAGATCCGGGATTTGCTGATGTTGGGGAATCCGCCGGCGAAGGGATTATCTTGCAGCTCAACCTGAACGATTTGGAAGGCTAAAGAGGCCTCTCAGGATGGAGCCCTGAAGGTAGTTTTCACTCATGCGGATATGACTTAGAGATGAGCATCGGTTGAAGCACAAATCTGGAGGTTGGAGAAGGCCATCCTCCTCAACGCATCCTACGCCAAAATCCTGGCGGGCTTCATGCACTCAGGAAAATCACTTATTACCGGCGGAATTTTCCGGCG